GAAATAGTGGGCCAGTGTGTGGATGAAAAGGGGCTGATGTGATCATGTGATGCATGCTGCTGAACGCTAGAGCTCCAGCCCAACCACCTTCCTACTTGCAGTGTCCCTGAACCCGAAGAGATTGCCATGTTCTTCCAGCAGCACCTATGAATGACAGCAGGCGGCAACACAGGGGCTGAATCCCTGACCTGGAAGGAATGATTCTTGGTCTCCCCTCTCCACCAGTCTCACATCCCTCCACATCCTGCCATCATCGTGACATGAGTGCTAGTAGCAGCTGAGGGGAGAAAGGCGCAGGGCAGCAGAAGGGATGGAGGAACCGATGGGTGGTCGTAAGACAATCGCAGTGCCTCTCTCCTGCCACCATCAACCATGCACCAAGAAGGAAGAAGCGAGAAGCGGGTATGGCGGGAGAGAGCGCAGAGATAATAAAGCAGCACAGGACGACAAGTGGGGCATGGAGGGGGGATTGGGTGATGCATATCAAGTGGTCTTTGTGTGTGCGATGTGGGAGGGAGGGAGAGGTGGTGCCTGAGGGTGCGATGTTTACGGTGCTGCTTGGCTGGGATGGTGATGGTGCAGATGGGAGGGTGAAGAAGTGGGGGAGGAGGAGGAAGGACGGGGAGGGACACTTGGTTCATGCGAGAAGGATGAAGGACGTCATGGGGTAAGAAGGCGCACATCATAACGGGATGAAGGGCATGGCAGAACGGGATTAAGGCGATGGTGGGGAATGATGAGTGGAGAGAAAGAAGTGAAGCATACACAATGACGAGGAGGAGAAGAGGCAAAAAAGGGTGACAAGGAGGGAGCGGCGGAACAGGAAGGAGAGAGGAAAGAAATGTGGGGGGTTTTGAGAGGGGGAGAATGGGGAAGGGGGAGGCGGGAGAAGAGGGGGAGGGGGGGGGAGGGGGGAAGGGGTGGGGGAGGGGGGGAGGGGGGGTATGTCGGCCAGCTGGATGGTAAGCTGTTTGTGCCGTTTCACCCTCTCTTCCCATCCACCACGGTCACTACCGTCTCGACCCCACTGTACATGCTAGGAGTTCGTGAACCCAACATTAAAATCAGGAGCAGACTCAAGATCGCTGTTGACCTAGAAGGAAATGGAGGGAGTGGAGGAATATCAGGGGAAACAGGGGGTGGAAGGGAGTTGGGAGAAGAGGGGTGTTAGGAGGAGGGACGGATGTTGGAAAAAGACGGTGGGAAAACGTTTTCACGGGAGACAAATGCGTGAGGTGGCTGGGGGCCGAGGGGAGTCGAGGCAGGAGGGATGGTAGAACAGGGGGGAGGGGAAAGTGGGGGTATGGGAGGAAAGAGGGAGGCAGAAGGGGCGCTTGGGCCATTTTGCACCAAAGGAATCTGATGGGTAGGATAATAGTGTAGGACAGGGAAGCCGTTGGATTTGAAGGTGCGAGGAGGAGAGGCCGTGCAAGTGAGAGAGCGAACCCGCGCTGCTTTCTCGTAACACACTGCACCGCACCTGTGGCGCACGCGGCGATGAGTACCGCCATTGGGTTTGTTCTGAGCGAGGACTATCTGGATGGGGGTTGGGAGACAGCAGATGGCTCTGTGCGAGAACAACGCTCAGTTGCCGTCTCACCGGCAATCTAGTGCAAGAACAGCACCGTCATGTCATATCCTGATCGGTGCCTGCCAAACTGGATTGAATCCACCTATGGCCATGATGCGTCCTGCAATCTCACACTGTCGAAATCAGCCTATGGCATGGAGGACTGGGTGTGAGGGTGACATGCATTCGCCATCACGCTTTTTGCCTCGGCGAGTCTGAGATCGTTGCGGCAGTGACTCCGTTTCACACAGCCTTCTTGCCGGTAGCAGTGGTGTCAGTTGAAGGTCATCGTGAAGTTCGTGGCCGATGCTTGGTTGAATGTCAGCTATGGCAAATCAACGATGCGGTGAGAGGAGTTTGCTCCTTGTTGGACGACGATTGGGATGCGCGTGGCTCCTACTGTTGGCACCATCAACCTACCTCCAAGGAGGGAGAACGAGGGGGGGACAGGCGGGAGAGGGGAGGGGAAGTGGGGGAGTAGGGAGGGGGCGAAGCAGAGAGAGTAGGGGAACAAACACATGAGCAAAAGACGAGGGTGAGGGGCATGGAGGGAAAACCTGGGTGATGTGGGAGGGAGGGAGAAGTGCTGCCTGAGGGTGTGATGGCTACGCTTTGATGTTGGGGGAGCAGAGGGAAAGGATGGTGGATAGAGGAGGATGATAAGGGAGTGGAAGAGACACTTGGTTCATGCATGAGGTGATGACAGAAGGGGCAGGGCATGTTGAGATGAAGGGCATTTCACAATGGGATGAGTGGCGTGGTGGGGGATGTCGGGTATAAGAAAGTGAAGGAATAAGCAAGGGAGGGCAGAGGGAGAAAAGGGAGATGACAGCAAGGGATCGAAAGAAGAGGATGCGGAAGGAAAGGAAAGGAACGTGGGGAGAAAAGAAAGGAAGAGAGAAGTGGTAGAGGGAGAGGAATAACAGGGGAAGATGGGCGGGAGAAAGGGGGAGGAGCGGAGGTTTGTTTGTTCCCTTAGCCGCTTCACCCTCTCTCCCCACCCACCATGGTGGTTTGGAAGAGGGTGCGTGCAAGCACCGTATGACCAGTCAGTCAATGTTGGCCTAACGGAGAAGGGGGAAAGGAGAGAAGAGGGTGCAAGGGAGTTTGCGAGGAAAGAGGTGTTTGGAAGGGAGAGGTGGGAATGGATGCAGGAAAACGAAAGTAGTAGTAATATTTGGATGATCAGGGGGCAACTAGGTAGCGAGAAAATCTGACGGGTAGGATGATATGATGATGATGGAGACACGTGGCAGTGCAGTGCAGGGGAGCCAGGAGATGTGAAGGTGCGCGTAGGGAAGGGCAAGAAAATGAGAGATGCGGCTCTCCCTAACACCCAACTTCAGTGGTGGATCATGTGGGGGGACTGGATAATACAGAGGAGGTGCAAGAGGCTTGTTGGAAGTGAAAACACAATCATAATCTGGAGATATGAGTATTTTTAGAATAAATTGATCGTCTAGACAGTTTCACCATCTTGCAGCCGATTGCAAGAAAGGGCCATAGAAATATGACCCTTGTTCATATAGCTCGTTCTTTGAGAGTTTCGCTCGTTCCCATTTTCGGGAGAATGGGGGAAGGGGGAAGGGGTGGGGAGAAGGGGGGAAAGGGGGGAGGGGAACGGGGGAAGGGGGAAGGGGAAGGGGGAGGAGAAAGGGGGAAGGGGAGGAGGTTGTGGTGTTTTGCAGAGCGAGGAGGCGGAGGTGGAAGACAGATGATGACACGGCACAGGGGAAAAGCAGCGCTCAGATTCATTGCACCCCCAGCGCCGAAAATCTCATGCAGTGCGTGGACATACGAGGGCAGAAAGGATGGATAGAAAACAATCCAAACTTTTCCGCCATTCTGTCAAAGGTGCTTTCATCCAAGTCGGCTTCTCTCCCCTCTGCGTTGCCACCATCCTCGCCATGCTGCCGTCAGCTAAGACGTCACTCGCATTCCACCTAGCTCTACCAGTGGCACGACGCAGCAGTGCCTTCACCTGCGGCGAATGCGGCGATGAGAGCCACCCGTTGTATTCGTGCAGAGCGAGGACTCCTGCGGAGGGGGAGCGGGGGAGGGGGGGGAGGGGAAAGGGGGTTGCACGACAGCTGATGACATTACTCATGGAAAAGCTAGCGCCATAAGTAGGGCGCGGATAGGTAGAGGCACTTTGGGAGGCATGCTGATCTAAAAAAAACCTCATACTCTCCCATCATGATTATGGTGGGGCATGGCGACACGGTGCCGTCATATACTAGTCGGTGCTCGTCACAGAGGCTGAGAGGACGCTCCGACTCATTCCACCCTAGGCCATTATGGATCAGTGCTTTCTCAGCGAATTGATTGAACGCGGAATTGTTGCGAGGACGACATGCGTTTGCCATCACGCCCCGTGCCCTGGCGAGCCTTACATCGCCGCGGCAATGACTACGTGGCATGGTCCCTTCGTGGTGCTGCCACTGGAAGCGTTGGTCTCGCCACCCTTGTCGCCTGTCGGTTAAATGCCGGTCGTGGCGAAGCGATGGCGACGGAGGAAAGCAAGGGCGACGGCGAGAAGCAAGGCCGACAGGGGAAAGCGTGGGTGACGGGGACAATGTGCAAGTGCGCGCCGATTCGCTCGATGCGCGGATACGATTACCTCCACATGTTGGGAGCTAGCTGGCTGGCGGCTCAGTGATTAGAATGGATCTAAAGGCTAGTCGAAATAGGATCGTAGCGGGACACCAGACCATAATCTGCCAAAACAGTCTCGACCCAAAATGCCAAGTACAAGTTGCAGATTGCAATTGGTTTTCGCTCGCGAATCGAAACAACACCTGAAGAATAATTGTTCGCCTACTCTGTTACTTGCTGCGAAACATAAGCGATGGTCCCCCTCCCCCCCTCTACACGACCGAACTCGACCTCCTTAGTTTAGGGAGCCCACTAGTTTTAGGGCACCTATGGGAGTATCGAAACCCTAGCTCAGCCTGCTAGCAAGTTGATCAGAATTACGTTGTTGCAATACAGTTACAAGCTCAGCACATGCATTTCATTTTCATCCTACAGCATTATCGAGGGACCTTGTATTGAAGCAAGAAGTCTCAACTTGGTCAATTCTGAATTCGCTCGACCAAGTTCGCTGGATTACCAAAACCACCAGTCCCAGTTCGAAGCATTCGCGAAACCAGATATAGACAGAAGACCGCGAGCTGACGCGCTGCGCGCTAATTTGGTTATTCAATATTCGCAAATCTGCCTCACCACAACTACTTCGCATTCTCCCAATCCCGAACCGCGTAGTAGCCGCGCCTCGATTCACGCTCGAACATTGATCTCGAGTTTCGGTCCCCTCTATAAATACCCCTCGACACAAGTAGCAAATCGTCAAACCAGCTCATTCCACCACACTTGTGCCATTAGCAGCCAGCCCGTTTTTTCAGCTCTTGCTCAGCCCACCGCCACCATCATGGCTGCTCTCTCCTCTGCCACCGCGGCTTCCGCCGCTTCCGCATTCCTCGGCTCTAGCGCGGAGCTCGCGGCGAAGGTCCGCAACGTTGAGTGTCGCGTGACGATGCGCAAGGCCGCCGGCAAGGCTGACAACCTGAGCCAGTGGTACGGCCCAGACCGCAGCCTGTTCCTCGGCCCGTTCAGCGCGCCGCCCGCGTACCTGAAGGGCGAGTTCCCTGGCGACTACGGGTGGGACACGGCGGGGCTGTCGTCGGACCCCGAGACGTTCGCCAAGAATCGCGAGCTGGAGGTGATTCACTCGCGCTGGGCCATGCTCGGCGCGCTTGGCATCGTCTTCCCCGAGTTGCTGGCGCGCAACGGCGTGCCGCTGCAAGAGGCGGTGTGGTTCAAGGCGGGCGCGCAAATCTTCTCCGAGGGCGGGCTCAACTACCTGGGCAACCCCGGCCTCATCCACGCGCAGAGCATCCTCGCCACGCTCGCCGTTCAGGTGCGTTCGTTGTTCACTTCTCTCTTACCTTCCTTTGCTGCGTCGCCGTCCAGATGTGGCGCTCCGTTATTTTTAAGTTTTCCAGGCTGATATCTTCTCACATTCCCTGCTTTGGCCCCGTCAGTTCTGTAGGGGAATTTTCATTCCGACAACTCCCTTTTATCCTCGTCGTTAAACTTCACGATCTGCAAACACACACGCTGACGCTTCTCTGTTATGTGGTAACCTGATGCGTCTTACCGCAGGTGGTACTTCTGGGCGCAGTGGAGAGCTACCGCGTGGGCGGTTTGGAGGGGTTCCAGGAGGTGGAGGATCCGATCTACCCGAGCGGCGCGTTCGACCCGCTGGGGCTGGCGGACGATCCCGACGCGGCGGCGGAGCTGAAGGTGAAGGAGCTCAAGAACGGCCGCCTCGCGCAGGTGTCCGCGCTGGGCTTTTTCGTGCAGGCCATCGTGACGGGCAAGGGGCCCCTTGAGAACCTCGCGGACCACCTCGCGGACCCCACTGCCAACAATGCGTGGGCGTACGCGCAGAACTTTGTCCCCGGCGCGTAGAGGAGTGGAGAGAGGTTTGACGAGCTTGGAGGAGGTTTTGAGGGAGTTGGAGGGAGTTTGAGGAAACTTGGATTCGTGGTTGCCAGGATGTCTTGGATTCGGTGAACCTGCACATATCTGTACAGCCCAGGATTTGTGTATTTATGATGATTTATGATGATATCACACAACAATACCCCAACTACTGAGGTGAATCTGTCACTTCTTATGAAGCTGTGAATCAATCACAAACCCCAATCCATACCTGATCTGTATGTGGCTTGTGCTCGTCCTGGTGCACACCTTCCTAGGCATGGATTTCAACATTTTGAGATGGAAATACTGCAATGCAAGGTACCTAGCTAGCTACACCATAACGATCACATCAGAATTTCGTGACGTTCTAATCCCCATCATGAGAGACTTACACGAGAGGACAGTTCCAGAAGCAGGCATGCTAGGTCATGCATTCATTCTCTTACTGATTTCCCTCACCCCCACATCCTCCGTGACTCCGTCTCCTCCCCCCCACACACCCAGTCATCCCCACAATGCTCCAGCCCCAGTACCCCCCTCATCCGCATCACATCCTTGCTCAAGGTCGACCGCGGGGAGCCCCAGAACACGTGGGCAAGGACACATATCATCTTCTCCACCATGCCTCTCGTGCTGCTGTGTGCTACGATCCCCGTGGGCTGCAGCTCCGCTGCTCCTGGCGCGGCTGATTTGACACGATGGGACTGGATGACGGATATTTCGGCCCATGCTAGGGATTTCATCATCTGGGCGAACCAGCGGAGCTCCTCAACACAGGAGGGAGGGGCGAGGAGATGGAACAAGGGATGAAATCTCTGCCCCAGAACACGTGCGCAAGGACACACACCATCTTCTCCACCGTGCCTCTCGTGCTGCTGTGGGATATGATCCCGCTGCCTGCAGCTCTGCTGCTCCTGGCACGGCTGATTTGACTCGAGGGTACTGAGCAACGGCTGCCTCGCCCCAAAGTAGTGATTTCAGCATCTGGTAGAACCAGCGGAGCTCTTGAGGAAAGCAGGGGAAGGGTTCCAGGAGACAGGGGACACGTGGGAGGCAGGCAGGGGACACATGGGAGGCAGGCACGCGGGCGAAAAGTATTGGTTTCGGTAGAGAGAATGCGGTAACGTGCGGTTGGGGGTGGTCGACGGTGAACTGATTCGGAGGTATTGGGCGACGTGAATGTCGAGATGGTTTTTGCTTCCAATGATCTGGTAATTTCTAAGCGAAATTAAGTCAACCATTAGGGGTAACCTAGTTGCCCTTTGCCCCCAACCCCTCCCCCCGTACTGCCGGGGACCACCGAAATTGCCGATCCGCGCAAATCGGCGCTCGAAATCTGCCAAACCGCGCGAATCGGTGGGCGAAACCGTCGATTCGTCAGACTATCGACCCACCCTCGGGTCAGGTGACCCGGCCCTATAAGCTCAGGTCGGGTCAGCCACCCAAAAATCTTGACCCGAGGTCGGATCGAGCTGACCCAACCGGCACCCGTCCTGGGCCGGCCTGAGTTGGGACGGGCTGGGACGGGTCGACCCATTGCTCACACCTAACCCGGTCTGACCTGACCCGTTCCGACCCGACCCAATTCAACTAGATCCGGACCTATAACTATGCCGCAAGCCGACTGAAGTGAACCTTACCAAGAGATACCGCAGCGGCCTCCTCAAGCTGCGTCAGGGAATCAGCCAACCCCTGACCTGTGACTGTGACGATTCCCCCTGTGGCGAACCTTCTCGAGCTGCTGCAGGAGAATCAGCCAACCCCTGACCTGACCTGAACCGACCCAACCCAACCCGGTCCCATGACTGTGACGATTTCCCTTGTGGCGAACTTTCTCGAGCTGCTGCAGGGAAATGAACGAGCGTGCCTTGGCCTGGTGTGATGGGTCCTTGTACTGGAGGGGCGTGGAGTGTAGAGGGTGTGGAGTGTGGGGAGTGTGGTGGAATGTGGAGTGTGGGGTGTGGGGTGGGGGGAGTGGAGTGTGGAGTGTGTGGGGAGAGTGGAATGTGGAGTGCGGAGTGTGTGGAGTGTGGAGTGTGGGTGTGTGGTGTGTGTGGAATGTGTAGTGTGGAGTGTGAGGTGTGGGGTGTGGAGTGTGGAGTGTGGAGGGGACGAGAGATAAATGAGGAACAAATTTAGCAGACTCAAGAGTCAACTGCGGCATGGGAATGAGAGAGCGTGCCTTGGCCTGACTCGTACTGGTGAAATGTGGAGTGTGGTGAATGGGAGGGGGATGAAGGTACGCAAGGAGGGCAAAGGAGAAGAGGTAAATGGAGGGGTTGAATCGTGCATCGGAATGAGTGAGGTGTTTACTAACACTGAAATAAGTGGTAAGCGTTTGATGGCATCACAGCCCAGGATAGCGTGCTGCACTACACCACATCGCACTGCACCGCATTCACCTGCGTGTTCCCCACCATCCACCCCTTGCTCGTCTCGCACACAACACCAGGTGCTACAACGCATGGCACCACACCACACTCCACTCACCTGCATGGCACCGCACCACACTCCACTCACCTGCATGGCATTGCTCCAGGTCACAGCAGTGGCCCCTCCAATGCTGACTGACCATGGGCCCCACCACCCATCCCCCCTTGCTGCTGCTGTGGCGCCTGTTGGCCCCTCAGCTGCTGCAGCATGGCATGCGCGTCTGACTGCTGCAGCTGCAGTGCCAGTGCTGCATCCTCCTCCTACTGCTCTCATGCCAATACATGCCATGGTCCGTGACAAGATGACGCAACATGACGTGACGTGACATGTCATGCCCTGGCATGCCATGCCATGCCATGACCATATCATGCACCATGACATGGCCTGCCATGTCCATATCATGCGTTATGCCACGTGATGTGATTAACGGGCAAAGAAGCGTGCAAAATAAAGAGGGGGGGCAGAAGGGCCAGTGGACGGCATAGCCCAAATGATGCAGCAACGTGAACTGGCGGTATCGGCTGGCTGGTGCGCACAAGGTGTTGAACAATACGTGTGTGTGTTTCAGACGTAAAGTGAACGAATTTTGAGGTGCCTAGACATTGGTTGGTGTTCACAAGGGTCTGAAGACGGCACGTGTTTGTTTGGATGCACAGTGATCGCACGAGCATGCATTGGCTGGAAAAAGCCCTGACATCAATGATCATTGCATGGCACACAGGTGCAATTAAGAGCTTGCAGGAACGCTCATTGATACATACATATTTCTCATCCATACATGCCACATACCTGCAGTCAACATGCAAGTTCCTCTTCGCCCGCTATGCTGCTTTCCCCCTTCCAACCCTTTTCCACCTCCGCCCCGTTCTTACCCTCTGCCACCTTCTCCCCCTTCGGCCCTGTTTCCCCCTGCCGTGCAGCACGAGCTCTGCACCACTAGTTGGTTAACGAGAGGCCAAATCAGCATGCGGCGAGGAGAGGTCAATGGACGGGGCGGAGGAGAGAGAAGCTGCAAGGGCATATAGGAAGGTGGTAAGAAGAAATCAGAACGTCTCTGAGGCGGCTCATGAACAAACTGGCAGGTGGTGAAGTGAGTGAGATCAGGGTCGAGCTGGAGAAAAAGAAGAGCTGCAAAGTCGCCAAGGCAAGATGACCTAGCGGCTGGTAAGAGGGAGTGGCCTGAAACACATGCAGTATGCGGCAAGAAGGGCTCAAGGGACGGTCTAGAGGAAAGGGAGAGGTGCAAGGGCGTCAGGTGGACGGCGGTAAGAAGGGAAAAAGATGCTCTGTAAATGCGCCTCCAAGATGGAATGGGCATGTTGCAATGAGAGGTCCATGCACAGGCCAGATGAGAGGAAGAGATGCAAGAGCGCCCGGGGAAAGGAAGACGAATCTGTCCTTCAGATATGTTTTAAGTCGACTCACAAATCGCCTTCAAACACAAACCGGCATTCAGCGAGTGGAGGTCAAGGAATAGACCGGAGGAGAGGGTTAGCTTTAAGGGCACTAGCAGAAATGCATTACGCCGGTAAGAAGGGATAGAGGTGACCTCGGGTTTCACCCGCCTAAGGTCGACCCACCCCCATTCCATCAAATCGAGAGTGAGGAACTTCTTGAGAACTCGCAACAATCCTCACTAGAGGTGACCACTGGTTCCAAATAGGGAATAAAAAACTTGCGGAATGGGGGAAGAGAGGGAGGTATGGTGCGACTGTGCATGTCTGTGTCACTTCGTTCGTCATATCATGTGAAACACAATCAAGACCACCATAGAAACACAAGTGAGTCATTCAAATCAGATTCATTAATTTAATGAGTTTGATGGAGTCCCCCGATTCACTCCAAAAAGGCATTGATGCTGGACGTAGCGATTGGTTCTCGGGCGAGAATTCGTGAGCGAGAAGATCTGAATCTGCAACACCTGCGCGACAATGGACGGCCAGGGATGGACGGCCAAGGATGGACGGCCAGGGATGGGGACGGCCAGGGATGGACGGCCAGGGATGAATTGGGAGGAAGGAAGGAGGGAGTCGACGGGGATAGGGGAGGGAGGGGAGAGGGGATAAGTTTAACACGATTCACAATATGAAGGATAGGTCAGCACATGCGCCAGGTAGAGTGGAAATGAGGATAAGCAGGCTGGGCGAATTGAGTTATCACCAAATCAGAGGGAGTGATGCCAAGGAAGTTGGTTGGGATGCATGAGAACAGGTGGAGAATACACCTCTCCCACGCGTTGCCTTCCTCACAGCTATACTGTACAACTATCGCATACCTTTCGTTGCAGACGACTTCTGAGGTGTTTCAAAAGGGTTTCGCATACCCCGAGCTAAGAGAAAAATTACTGCTCTCTCTTGTCCCATTCCTCAGGATCCCTCTTCCGTCGTCTCTACGTCGCCTGTCCCCACTTCCCCCGTCCTTAATCTCCCCATCCCTACTATACCCGTCCCTACTATCCCCCTCCCTAATATCCCCGACCCTACTATCCCCGTCCCTACTATCCCCGTCCCTACTCTCCCCGTCCCTATTACCATATCCTCGTCCCTCTTCTCTTCTCCCCGTCCCTACTCTCCCCGTCCCTATTCCCTCCGGGCCTACTCTCCCCGTCCCTACTCTCCCCGTCCCTACTCTCCCCGTCCCTACTCTCCCCGTCTCTACTCTACTCTCCCTGTCCCCACTCTTCCCGTCCCCACTCTCCCCGCCCCCACTCTCCCCGCCCCCACTCTCCCCGTCCCTACTCTCCCCATCCCTACTCTTTCGTCCCTCCTCTTCCCGTCCCTCCTCTCTCCGTCCCTACACTCGCCGTCCCTACTCTCCCCGCCCCTACTCTCCCTGTCCCTACTCTCCCCGTCCCTACTCTCCCCGTCCCTACTCTCCCCGTCCCTACTCTCCCCGTCCCTACTCTCCTCGACCCTACTCTCCCCGTCCCTACTCTCCCCGTCCCTACTCTCCCCGTCCCTACTCTCCCCGTCCCTACTCTCCGCGACCCTACTCTCCCCGACCCTACTCTCCCCGTCCTTCCTCTCCCGTCCTTCCTCTCCCCGACCCTACTCCCCCCGTCCCTACTCTCCCCGCCCCCACTCTCCCCGTCCCTCCTCTCTCTGTCCCTACACTCGCCGTCCCTACTCTCCCCGCCCCTACTCTCCCTGTCCCTACTCTCCCCGTCCCTACTCTCCCCGTCCCTACTCTCCCCGTCTCTACTCTACTCTCCCTGTCCCCGCTCTCCCCGTCCCCACTCTCCCCGCCCCCACTCTCCCCGCCCCCACTCTCCCCGTCCCTACTCTCCCCGTCCCTACTCTTTCGTCCCTCCTCTTCCCGTCCCTCCTCTCCGTCCCTACACTCGCCGTCCCTACTCTCCCCGCCCCTACTCTCCCCATCCCTACTCTCCCCGTCCCTACTCTCCCCGTCCCTACTCTCCCCGACCCTACTCTCCCCGACCCTACTCTCCCCGTCCTTCCTCTCCCGTCCTTCCTCTCTCCGACCCTACTCCCCCCGTCCCTACTCTCCCCGCCCCCACTCTCCCCGTCCCTCCTCTCTCTGTCCCTACACTCGCCGTCCCTACTCTCCCCGCCCCTACTCTCCCTGTCCCTACTCTCCCCGTCCCTACTCTCCCCGTCCCTACTCTCCCCGTCTCTACTCTACTCTCCCTGTCCCCACTCTCCCCGTCCCCACTCTCCCCGCCCCCACTCTCCCCGCCCACACTCTCCCCGTCCCTACTCTCCCCGTCCCTACTCTTTCGTCCCTCCTCTTCCCGTCCCTCCTCTCCGTCCCTACACTCGCCGTCCCTACTCTCCCCGCCCCTACTCTCCCTGTCCCTACTCTCCCCGTCCCTACTCTCCCTGTCCCCACTCTCCCCGTCCCCACTCTCCCCGCCCCCACTCTCCCCGCCCCCACTCTCCCCGTCCCTACTCTCCCCGTCCCTACTCTTTCGTCCCTCCTCTTCCCGTCCCTCCTCTCCGTCCCTACACTCGCCGTCCCTACTCTCCCCGCCCCTACTCTCCCTGTCCCTACTCTCCCCGTCCCTACTCTCCCCGTCCCTACTCTCCCCGTCCCTACTCTCCCCGTCTCTACTCTACTCTCCCTGTCCCCACTCTCCCCGTCCCCACTCTCCCCGCCCCCACTCTCCCCGCCCCCACTCTCCCCGTCCCTACTCTCCCCGTCCCTACTCTTTCGTCCCTCCTCTTCCCGTCCCTCCTCTCCGTCCCTACACTCGCCGTCCCTACTCTCCCCGCCCCTACTCTCCCTGTCCCTACTCTCCCCGTCCCTACTCTCCCTGTCCCCACTCTCCCCGTCCCCACTCTCCCCGCCCCCACTCTCCCCGCCCCCACTCTCCCCGTCCCTACTCTCCCCGTCCCTACTCTTTCGTCCCTCCTCTTCCCGTCCCTCCTCTCCGTCCCTACACTCGCCGTCCCTACTCTCCCCGCCCCTACTCTCCCTGTCCCTACTCTCCCCGTCCCTACTCTCCCCGTCCCTACTCTCCCCGTCCCTACTCTCCCCGTCCCTACTCTCCCCGACCCTACTCTCCCCGTCCTTCCTCTCCCGTCCTTCCTCTCCCCGACCCTACTCCCCCCGACCCTACTCTCCCCGTCCCTACTCTCCCCGTCCCTACTCTCCCCGTCTCTACTCTACTCTCCCTGTCCCCACTCTCCCCGTCCCTACTCTCCCCGTCCCTACTCTTTCGTCCCTCCTCTTCCCGTCCCTCCTCTCTCCGTCCCTACACTCGCCGTCCCTACTCTCCCCGCCCCTACTCTCCCTGTCCCTACTCTCCCCGTCCCTACTCTCCCCGTCCCTACTCTCCCCGTCCCTACTCTCCTCGACCCTACTCTCCCCGTCCCTACTCTCCCCGTCCCTACTCTCCCCGTCCCTACTCTCCCCGACCCTACTCTCCCTGTCCTTCCTCTCCCGTCCTTCCTCTCCCCGACCCTACTCCCCCCGTCCCTACTCTTCCCGCCCCCACTCTCCCCGTCCCTCCTCTCTCCGTCCCTACACTCGCCGTCCCTACTCTCCCCGCCCCTACTCTCCCTGTCCCTACTCTCCCCGTCCCTACTCTCCCCGTCCCTACTCTCCCCGTCCCTACTCTCCCTGTCCCTACTCTCCCCGACCCTACTCTCCCCGACCCTACTCCCCCCGCCTACTCTCCCCGTCCCTACTCTCCCCGTCCCTACTCTCCCCGTCCCTACTTTCCCATCTCCTTCACAGGTACAGGTGCGCACGATTGGTGGGAATGGCGGGCAGCGGCGCGACGATACGCGCGCTTGGCGGACGGTGCTGGTGCGAACGGCGATATTCACTTCACACCCCTACTGCCACGCTCTCGCGACTCCCACGGACGGATGCGAGGTGACTCAGACTGGCGCACTCGCTGTGCGAAGGCGCGTTCGGCGGACGGTGCTGGTGCAAATGGCGAGCTGCGCAGCACTACTGGCGGCCCGCGCGAGCGTGTCATGGCGGGCAGACGACAAGCGGCGCGACGATACGCGAAGTGGCGAAGCAGGCAGGAGTGGTTGGTAGGAGCGGGGGTGATCGGGTGTGTGCGCGCGGGGATGGCCCACCCACTACGCGTCACGCCGTGCCACCGTCTCGCGCATCCCTCCACCGGTGGCGGGGGCCGCCAACGGTGCTCGCGCGTGAATGCCCGCGTTTCGCCCACCTCGTCCTCCGCGCACCAACCATACTTTGCAACGAAACTGGCCCTAGTCTATCGTAACTACAAACTCGTCCAACGCGCACCAGCCGCTTCAGTGCCCCAGTCTATCATAACCCTAACCTAGTCGCTGGTTCTTCATGTCGTTTGCGATCTGCTGCTGTGCTCGCCATGAGCGTGAATATCGCTATACTCGCTAATGAGCGGGCTAACAATTGCAGCTAGTTTTTGTTATATTGAACCAACTGAGTGCGAGGAATCAATGAGTATCGAGAGTAATTGCAAAGAGAGTGAAGATACAATGAAAATGAGGGGATGATATAGGGAACCTAGCTAGGTGAGGACCTCGGGAAGCCGAGGCTCGGAAGTGTGGCGAATGGTGCGGGGGCGATTCGGGGGTGGTTTGGATGAGGTTGAATGCCGAACCAGCTGACGCGATATTGTCGGAACTGTGTCGCGGGAGTGCGACTGCAATATTACTTCAAATCACTTAGGACGTGTTGCATTTCCCGGTGCACTGCATCGGCTCGGCCTGACTTGGCACGAGCCAGGTCGTGCCAGACTCGAGCCTCGGGAACCTCGAAATTTTGCCATGAAACTCGAGGGAGATGTGACGCAATTCCCTGACACAACTACTGAAGATTGGCGAGGGCAGAGTGGCGGATTGGCAGCGGGTGTCAATTTGATGGCACGAGCCAGGTCGTGCTGGCTCGAGCCATAGCGACGCAGTGCACTGACTCGGCTCGGGGCATGCCGTGCCTAGTCAGTGCACCGCGTTGGCTCGGCCTTCTGCTTGCCTGGACCCTTCCTGAACCCGTGCCCCGAGCCGAGCCGATGCAGTGCACCTGGAATTGCAACACGTCCTTAGGACGCGGTAAAAGTAGAGAATCGATCGCCTCTGGATCATTCTTTTGCGCTGTTGTAATCGGTTGTGTACTTTCCGTATGCAAAACGCAAGGTTTCAGTGCGGTGACAGGATCGATCTCCCCCCGATCGAGCACTTTTACCGCGTCCTTATCATTTGGGGTTGCAGTTATAGTTACCATTTCCAATTGCAAACATTTATTTGGTAGACTATTGTGCTACAATAGTGCACAATGGATATATGATAAAAGTAAACCCCTTGCTACCCAATCATTCTCAAGCCATAAAACGCAATCATCACAATTCGTAAAACGTATCAACCCAAAACCCTGAAGCAAATTCCAATTGCAAAATTATACTCAAGAAACTACATGGTGATGGGATGATGAGATTACGGGGTGGTGGCGTGATGGGATGATGATGGTGTGATGGGATAAGGATGTGATGGGGCAATGGGATCATGGTGTCTTGGGGTGATGAGGAGACGACGAGATCAAGGGAGCGCCTTTTCCATATCAAAAGGGTGGACACAAGTGACAATGAAGTGCCTATGGCAGTTGTGGCAAGCCATGCGACAAATGTGAGCACATGCCATACAAGGCACTACTAACCTCATTGTGGAGATGAGTGATCGCTGACGGGTGTGTGAGCACATAGTTGGCAGGGGATGGATGGATGGATGCTGCTGGTTGGACCATGCACACCTGGTGGGTGATCGGGGGGGAGGATGACCCGAGAGGTTAAATGAGAAAGAGCGAGCAGTAAGGTGGATGCAGGATAGGCAGATTGGACGCTATTGGCTGGACTGTGTTCATGTGGACAGGTGGGGATAGCAATGGGGAAGGGGATAGGGGAGGGGAAGGAGAAGTGGATGGGAACTGTAAGGTGAAGGGGATGAGGGGACAACGATGGAGAGTGACGGTTGCACTATGCACACCTGGTGTGCAATCGAAAGAAGAGGGACTAACGGGAGAGGCTGGTGAGGTGGGTGACAGAGACAGGCAGTGAGTGATGGGAGGAGGGTGAGCAGAAGGAGCGATGGATCTAGCGTGATGGTCCCTGTAAGTCCTGAACCTCCACCTGGATGACCAGCACTGCCACAACACAGTGCATTCCGCCTCAGTGCAGTCAGCCTCTTGCCGATCAACCTTAACACAGCTGATCAACTGCAGGTGACCCCAACTGAGGGAAATCCGAGAGTGACCTAAGAGTGACATGAGAGCGAGTGACCTGCTAAAACCCACTGGTTACCCATAAATAGCCCATGTTCCTCGCACCACTCATGCACCGACTTCACGCAGCAGTGACCCATTACAGCCCACCTCCTTCATGCTTCTGACCTGCTACTGCTGAGCTGACCCACTGGTGACCCACGATTAGCCCACATACCTTGCACCATCCATGTCATCGGGGCACGAGTCTGTGCGATGGAGCAGAAGTAGGCACAGGAGAAGCAGGTGCGAATCTGGAAAGCGGGGGAAAGGTGGGGAAATGAGCAGTGCGATACTTGTACCAATTCTTAGAATTCTCAAAAGAGTATGAAGCAAAGTGTGGACCAAAGGTGCAGAACAGTGCTAGATAGAAGCTGAGAGGGGCAGTGGGCGAGGCAGATGTAAGCTAGGAGTAACAGGTGCGGAGCTGAGCTGGGGGGGCAAGTGATTGAGCAGGGAGGAAGTTGGGAGAGGGAGGGGGCAGGGAAGGAGGGAAGGGAGGAACGCCTTGGAGTGACCCGAACACACATCAGTCCCGCCCCACATCGACTGCTCACAGCCTCTCACACATCGCTTCACACGCAGCCTCTCACACGCATCAACTTCAACCCCCCTCTCCCCACTTCCTTCTCCCGCCTTTCCTTCAGCCCCCCTTTCTTCAACCCCTTTACTTCACCCACCCACCCTGCCTGTCTGTCTGTCGTCCGTCGGGGGTGAGTGTGCTCTTGGCACGGTCGTCCTTGAGGACAGGCAGGAGCACTTTGAGTGCTTTGTAGCTGCTGTACCTCAGCTCGTGTCCATGCTGATTGCCCCTGAGGGAGACCCGGATGCACCAGACATCCCGACCCCGCGCTCTTACCCAGGGGCGATTTCGGGTCCCTACTCCTCTCAGTGGCAGACAGCCATGGACGCAGAGATGGCATCCTGGAAGTCCACATGCACCTACGTCGACGAGGTGTTACGATAAGAATGAAATTGATAGAAAATGTGAAGTACAACCCTAGATATAGCTAACCCTAATCATGCAAGTAAGTAAAAATGTAACACCTAGACTAACATAAACAACACATATAAAATATATGTTGACACACCCCCATAGTCTAGGTGACGGAAGTCCTGTAGAAACAACAAGAGCAAGCAACGGTCACAAGACCAGTCCACAAGAACAAGACAAATCTCAGGGTGGAGCTCAAAGTCACCACACACTCCGAGAGCAAGCAAGGAGCCACAAGGCCAGTCCACATGCAGGTATATAGCAAATATGAAGAGATGCAAGAGTACAAGACATGCAGGACAAGGCATCTCTAAGTAAGCAAGTGAGGACGGGCAGGCACAAGGCCAAGCTAGGTGCAGAAACGCTGGTGGTCACAAGGCGGCAACGCCTTGGTGAAGATATCTGCCGTGTTGGCCTCAGAGACCACACGTAGAACGAGTGCCTGGCCACGCTGCTGCAACTCACGCCGAAGGAAGTAACGAAGCTGGATGTGCTTCGCCTTCCCAACCAGTCGGGGCTCCTCTCACAACAGGACGGCAGACCTGTTGTCGACGAACAAGACTGCCAGTCTGTCTTTCCTTCACACCTACCTTGCTTTCGGGGGAGAGCAAGGCCGCTCACCAAGGTCGGTGAGAAGGAAAGACAGCCAGCGAAGCTCCTGAGCGGCCATGGCCGCAGCGTACACCTCTGCCTCACAGCTGGAACTGGCGACAGACGACGCCCGAGTCGACCGCCACGAAACAGCACCTGCCCCGAGGCTAAAGGAGTACCCCTGTATATACCGACGTGTCTCCGCGTCGTCGGCCCACGACGAGTCCGAGTAACCTGTGAGTGTAACTGGCTGCTTCCCTCCAAGGACAAGTCCCATGCCTGATGTACTCGCCACATACTTCGCCACCCTCTTAGCAGCGTACCAGTGGGAAGGTCGGGTGTCTCCCAGGCGCAACAAAGTGCGCAAGGACGCTAAGAGGGTAAGCTAGGTTTGGGCGAGTACAGGTCATCAGGTACATGAGACAACCCACCAGCTCAGGATATGGACCACTGGACTCAAATTACTCGTCTGAAGGTGGAGCCGTGAGCCCATGATCCACACCAAGTGGGGTGAGCTGTACCTTGGAGAACGGGAAGCGAAACCGCGTGAGGATCTGCTCGACCATATGCGACTGAGTCAGCGTAATGGTGCGAGCTGCCCTGTCCCTGGTGATCTGCAGGCCAAGGTAGTGCTGCAGCTCACCAAGGTCAGTGCAAGTGTGTCTCCTCTGCAGTTCCTCCTTCACGGAGGCCAGCGCGCGTCGGTCGGGAGTGGCGAACACCAGGTCGTCGACGTAGACCAGGACAAAGAACGGGGTCGAGCCACGGCGAACGAACAGTGACGGGTCAGCAGACGACGGAAAGAAGTCAAGAGCTGCAAGGGTCGAGCGAAGTGTGTCGTGCCACTCACGTGGGGCCTGACGCAGGCCATAGACTGGTCGACGCAGCTGCCACTGGGACCCAGGTGGGAAAGAGCCAGTGAAGCCAGGCGGGCGACGCAGCCAGATCTGCTCGTGCAGGCTCCCCTGAAGGAACGCGGTGGAAAAGTCCAAAGAGTGCAACTCGTAGTCGCGCTGGGCTGCAATATGCAGCAACACCCAAAGAGTACTCATCTTCGGGGTGGGAGCGAAGGTCTGGAAGAAGTCCACCCCCTCTTGCTGACTGAAGGCCCTCGCCACAAAGCGCGCCTTGAACACAGGTGGTGATCCAGGCGGCCGCTTCACCTTGTAGAGCCATCGGCCACTGACGACGTTCGTCCCAGGTGGTG